CTAAAACTAAATCTATTCCTATGAATAACATGGGTATCTATGTATATCTATACAACTATGACTAGAACTAAATCTATTCCTATGAATAGTGTGGTTATATTTCTGCATTTATATTATAAGTCGAATTAGGCAGCTACTCGAACTCTTTCCATACTTGTTTACGTATCTTCGTCCCACAGAAACTTTGCAATCTTCTTTCGAATTGAGCAAAATTAATTCACAGTTTGCTTGTCTCATATTGCCTTGTTTAGTGTAGCTCATATCATTTTGTCATATGAATGGAATATTTGTCTGAGTACTCGTTGGTCAAAATTTAAGAAGCATTTTGTTCACGTAACGTATACAGTCAACATGGCTAAAAGACCACAGAAACGCACACTCTACTCACTGATGTATTGGTACTTTCAACATGTGCAACATATCATTTTTAATTCCTCAAGTTTTGAGAACACTCTAAAATAAAATGTGTGGCATGTGTCGCAACGAGCACCTCGTGCCGTATTTCTTGCGTTTTCTGCTAGATATATATAACGAAGAACGTAAGAAATACGACACGAGGTGCTCGTTGCGACACATGTGACACATAATGCGACACATTTTATTTTAGTGTGAAACCATAGTGGACGTTTAGGGTGTACTAATCTCATTCGATATCAATCTTTGATATTCTAAAAATTTACTTAGAACAGAGAATAGTGACTTGAAAAAGGTATTCTATCAGTGAATGTCTCTCTCAAAAGTCCATGTGCATAAGTCATATATAGTTCTTTGCTACGAAAGAAGATATCTTATATTTTGATTTGATTTTCTGCAGAAATTGAATAGGATCAAATTAATTCCAGATCAGCATTTTTTCGTTTGTTTTTAGCTGTACTAGAGAATATCTCGTGTCTTTGTTATAGTTTTTGTTTTCTGAAAATTTATTTTTTTATTTATGATGAATATATCATGTGATGCAATGAAATCTATACTTCAATGCTATATACTGTTTATTCAAAAAAAGTAAATTGAAATAGTCTTAAATAAGAAAAACTTAAGAAAGAAATATAATGAAGATGTAATGTACATTTAACTACCAGTAGAAGTTCTTAATAAATCGTTTGCTTGCATATAATCAATAATAGCTTGTGCATATTTTCTTGCGTTTTCGACTCGATTTGTTGCTGTACGCATCCAATTAGGTAATTCAGTTTGAAGAGCATTAATTCTCGCAATATAGTTACTTGTTATAAAGCCACCGGAAAGAAAATCAATAGCGCCAGGTTGTGGATGTGCCAACGATGGATATACAACACCAAGCCCATTAAGCTCAAGTGCTGTACCAAACGAAGATTGTCCACGAATACATTCGTTTCGATCAGATCCACACAATCGATCGATCGATGTTGTTACTGATAGTACATTAAGATTGCTTCGATTAAGTTTTGCACCACTCAAAAGATAACCAACCATGGTATAACTAAATAAAATTAATTATCATGCAAACAGTATAAAGAGTGTTATTTTTTTACTTACTCTCCATCTCCGTGACCATGAATATCAATCAGAAGACCTGTACCAGAATTTGCATTAATTTGATCAACAGCTTGATCGATAAACGAATGATAACCTTGATAAGCAGCTATGGCTTCGGAATGGTTGAATGTTGCTTCGTTAATTTCTCGATTAAAATCAACCTTTTTACGACTCCAATTAGCAATAATAACTGATGGTTTATATCCCCATGTTTTATTCAATTCATTTGCTACATTTTCAGCAAATTCATCACTTTTATCGTCTTTGGCAGTTGTTGCATTACAACGTGTGCCATCAACACAGGCATCATTGTAAAGCCATGTACAATTACCAGCATTTGGGCCTGACGTACGAAGACAACCACCTATTGTTCGATTTGATACATCAGAAGGCATTACATTACCACCATGTGGTGCCGAAAGAAGAAGATTAATGGTAGAAGGTTGGTGAAACCTAAATGATGATCGATAACCCAATGCGTATGGTAATGGTTGTTGTTGAATTGATTCATGTGGAAGAAAAGTGATAGTAAGATAAAACACACCAAGAAAGGCGAACATGTTTATGTAAAGATAGTTAGTAATAGTGAGGATGTATGTGTATTGAAACTATACACGCTCTGATTATATATTTATTTACTTGTATGTATGCAGTCAAGCGTGAATATTGACGTCAAGGACTGACTCAAGATTCGTGTAATACACCTGACGTCATGTGCATGAGTAGTCTGTACGTAGGAATACACTCCATTGTTTGATATTAAAATATTATGTTTGAATATTGCAAGTGATGTTTTCAGATGGATGAAGGACATAGTGATTGTATGTAGAAGAAGCTCATATTAATACAAGCAGGCTTGTGACTAACCTATTCAGTCATCATCAGATAAAAAAAGAAAATCTCAACAATATATTGGTCAAAAATTAAAGTAGGCCTTTTCTAGAAAATAAAAACTTTTTAAATGATATTTATCCTTCGATCACCAGTTTTTCAATCAATTGTTTAGACATGTGACAAAGCCGATGAATACGCGGTTCACTCATATTATATGAATATCACGAGAAAATGTCTGAGTCAGCAGCATGAGATAACGACGAACCGAGAGAACTAACCGTTCGCTATTGAAATGAATCATTCAATGAATAAAGATTTTCTAAGAGTGAAGAATAGAAATATCGATCAACGGTTTCAAATTAATAATTTTGCAATACTGGTCAATTGTCACGATCAACATTCTAAGAGAATTTCAAGTCAGAGAAACTGAATGAGATAAGAAGAAGAAAATGACAATGAACGGCATTGTTCGTATCAGACTTGGGAATATCGAGTGCAAGTGCTATGGAAAAACCTCAATTTAAATGAACAATGGAAGTACCAAGTGAATGTGCATCTCTTGATAATTCTATTCAAGTTTTGGTCATGGATTGCCGTGTTGATGGTGAAGCTCTTGAACTGGATAAGTGTACAGAGTTGTCATTATCAATCGTTTCAATATTTCACACGATTCACTGTGACACAGCATTTGGTTGCTGAGATCTGTGCCAATTCTCTTCAATCGTTTTCTTTCCTTTCTTCTTCTGTGTCCTCTGTTGTTTTAGAGTCTCGAACACTTCGATGAACGATGACCAAGTGTGGCAAGTAACAGCTATTGAAGGTTGATTTTTTTTTTATTGTTTGTCACATATCTTAGTTGTCCTCTTGAAGCAGATGGTTGGTGTTCGAGATCAATGCGTGCAAATAGGTCAATGGTGCAGAACATCTGTCACCGAGATTTATCAAAAGAGTTCACATTGAAATGTATAAAATGTTCAAACAGAAAAATACTGTTCAATGATGATATTTTCCATCAGATTCTCAACGTGGACAATGGGGAACAAGAAGTAAAATTCACAATAATCAATCTTCATCATTTTGATCAACGAGCAATAGCAAAGCAAAAGTATTGATATTCTTAGATATTCATGCACTCTCTATTATTATATAAATCTCACTGAAAATAAGTTGTCAACCTATGGAAGAATTCTGTTTACTGTATCAGTTGGCATTTATAACTTTGATCCTATAGCTTAATCTCACTTTGTCTAACACTTTAATTTTGGTTTTTCAGTGAGTTTAGGGTAGTTTTTTTACGAATGAGTTTGAAATATATACTATATTGATAAGATTATCAAGTAATGCTTGATTGAAGCTTGATATGAACAATTGCTACCAACATGCTTTGCTACGGCAAAAACCATCTTTAATTTGAAATAGCGAAACGCTACCATCGTTGGTGAGACTATCCATTACAATCAAGTACGCGGTTTTATCATGCATACCAATACGAGAACAGTTATTTGCACAGACATCCTAAATATATATGTTCGCTCAGTTCTTAAGCTCACTACCACTGACTGGTTTGATAGTATCGTCTTAATGTTTAATGATTTGTGTGTAGGAGATTTGATCGCCGAACGTTTCTTGAAACGAGTTGGAAGCACACATGACCTGTGAGCCAGACTCAAATTCCCAACGAGTGGATATCCACGGTGGAAAACCATCGCCATTTGGTTCTTCTTCAATTGCGTGATTTGCCGATGCCAAATCGATCAGATTGCTCACTACTAATCGTGTGTCTGCTCAAAATCATAGTGTCCAGCGAGAAGCCATACCGCTCTAAGAATGGCCAATGATATTTACATGGCGATGATTTGCTCGTTCGTACATCGCTTGAATGGCATAAACAATATATTCACCAGAAATATGAATATCACCAAGGCCATGATTCGGTGGATCTAACAGGCAATAAGACCAATCAAGTTTATTCAATTCAAGTGATCATCCAAAATCAAATTGTGATATTTCTTGCTTGTCACCTGTGTCGAGAATAGGGGTGGACCATTAACATTAATCTTAAATTAATGTTAATATTTTTTCATTAACATTAACATTAATATTAATGGTTAATGAAATACATTAATTAATGTTCCCTCTACTGAAAGGAGGGTCATACACCGAGTTAGATTTGTCTGTTCGTAACTTCGTTCGTAACTTCGTTCGTTCGTTCGCACAGAACGAAAAAAAGTTTTTTTGACCTCTCATATCACTCATTTTACAACAAAAGCTCAATAAGGTTATTTTTGGTCGGGATTTCGACCAATAGGGTTTCTTGACATGGTGGTTTCAACCAATGGGGTTTCAGAGGGGGGGGGGGCAAATCAGCCAATCAGATTTCTTTACTCTGTAATTTGGCCCAGTAAGGTTATTTTTGGTCGGGATTTCAACCAATAAGGTTTTTTGACATTGCGGTTTCAACCAATGGGATTTCAGAGGGGGGAACAAATCAGCCAATCACATTTCTTTGGCCTGCAACTTAGCCCTATAAGGTTATTTTTGATCGGGATTTCGACCAATAGGGTTTCTTGACATGGTGGTTTCAACCAATGGGGTTTCAGAAGGGGGGGGGGCAAATAAGCCAATCAGATTTCTTTACTGTGTAATTCGGCCCAGCAAGGTTATTTTTGGTCGGAGTTTCGACCAATAGGGTTTTTTGACATTGCGGTTTCAACCAATGAGATTTCAGGGAGGGGGCACATCAGCCAATCAGATTTCTTTGGTCCACACTTTGGCCCAATAAAGTTACTTTTTGTCGGAATTTCGACCAATAAGGTTTTTTGACATTGCGGTTTCAACCAATGGGATTTCAGGCAGGGAGGCAAATCAGCCAATCAGATTTCTTTAGCCTATAATTTGGCCCAGTAAGGTTATTTTTGGTCGAGATTTCGTCCAATAAGGTTTCTTGACATGACGGTTTCAACCAATGGAATTTGGGGGGAGGGCACATCAGCCAATCAGATTTCTTTGGCCCA